CCGGGCCATCTGTGTTCCCATAGAAGGCTGCGCTGGAGGTCGTGGCCCCGCAGGTCAATTCTGTCGACGAGGTCGCCGATGTTTGGAGCCTGGTCCTCGAAGGTGTGGAGGAAGATCTGGCTGCCCGCAGGGGTCGCTCTGGCGCCTCGGCCCGCGCCCGCGCTGGCCGCGGCGGACCGGGGGCCCAGTGGAAGAAGCCAGTCTAGTCCCCACCCAGGGGGCGAGCCTATAAGTATGCCAGAGCGCGAGCACGGGCTGTCGTCCTAGGATGGGCCAGACCTCGAGAAAGCTAAGGAGTTCTTCAGCAGGCAGGTTCAGTCATTGCTGGATAGCGGTGAGCGTTTTTCTTCGTCGCAGTCGCAGCCGCGCAAGTTTCTAGTTGCCATCGGCGCGTGTTCGAGGTTCGTGGCCAACGTTGCATGCTCCAAACATGTTTTGCGGTATCATCGACCAAGCCGCGTGGAATTTTTCACTCTGCGGCGTCGCCGCGCTGGCGCGCCCCGACCGTGCGAATGCGCTCGCCGGCGTGAACGCCCGCGCGAAGGCGGTCATCTCCAAGGCCGAGAATGCTGGTTCCCGCGCGCGGGGGCAGCGGGCGCGCGATGTCTTCGCGCCAGGTGCTTCGCTGGCCCGCGGGCATTCCGAGGCGGAGGCCATCCTGGGGGGGTGGCGCCCCATTCGCGCGAGGCACCCCTGCAGCGGGCCGGCGTGGATCTCGACTCCTGGAAGGTGGTGCGGCTGACCCATGGCTGCTCCGCTGTTGTTATATCCGAGGGGTTTGGCTTCTGGCTCGCGCTTCCGCCGTCGCTTCGGCCCCGCTGCAGGACGTCGCGCGTCCGTGCCTCGAGCGGACAGACGGAGGCGCGATGGGTATCCATCCTAGAGCGGTGGCGCACTTGCCGCCGGAAGCCTTTCAGGTCACAGATGCGTTTATTAATGCGTGCGAGCGGCACCTGGCCCGGCCCAGACCCTGAGCGCGCAGCGACGTGATCGAGCTGCCCAAGCCTGAGGGAGGGGCGCGTTCGATTGCCCTCGTCTCGCTATTCTGTCGCGCATGGGGCAAAGTTCGTAGGCTCATCGCGCTTGACTGGCAGGCGCAGCGCGAGTGTCTCGAGGCTCGGGGCGCTCGGCTTGGATACAGTTCCTCTGACAGCGCTTCCACCCGCGACCTGGCTGCTGAAACGGTTGCGCTCGTCGGTGGCATCATTATTGCGGCGCGGCTTGGCATGGCCAAGTGATTCGCGATGATTCGCTCTCGAGGGGGCAGATGCGCTGCAGTCCCCAATGGGGCTGGCTTGGATTTCACTGGATCTGCGATCCCCAGGGCCTCTGGCAGCTTGTCTGTGCTAGTTTGCTCGCGTCAAGGCATCCTTGCAGGGTGCGCCCACGCAACTGGCATGCTTGGCTGGCGCCTCGAGCCCCGGGAGGGCCCGGCGCCGTGGCCCCGCGCATCAGCCCCGGGGCGCTCGTCGACGATGTCTCGACCCACCTTGCCTCGTCTTCGCCCGATGACGTTCGGTTTCTAGAACGCGCTGTCCACGAGTTCACGGAAGATGCTGAGGGGCTGGGCTCGTCGACGCAGGTCGAGCACTCGGAGATCATCGCTGGGAACGGGTCGCCCGGAAGCACGACTCGAAACTTGCGTTTCGGACTAAGCGACCGCCTCGAAGTTGGACGCGGAAGTAGGGGGGTGAGCTGGCCGCGGGCAGGGTTATACGACTCAGGAAAGGAACAGGATCCAGGCGCCCAGGGGTCGTCGGCGCAAGTGTCTAGCACTAAAGCACGCAGCGGGGCGGTGAGTGACGAGGTTGTGGCGCGCGGGCGTCTCCCTGGCAGCTGGCCACGGAGGTTCTGCATCAAGCGCATCCGACACTAGCTTCAAGTATCCCTGGCAGCTGACGGCCACGATCGCTGGGTCTTAAAAGGCACTGTGGCACTGCGCCATGCCTGCTGACGCAATCCGATCAGATGTGCGACCCGATATCTGACGCTACGTTGGGGGCGGTGGTCAACCGTGCTGGATGCAGAGGACGGACGTGCGCAACTATCTCGGGTGCCACGAGCCTGGCCAAAATTGCAGGACACGCTATCAGACGCGCTATCAGACAACCCCTCTTGGCAGCAGGCGCGTGGCCCGCTGTCGGCGGTTTGGCTCAGTCCGCTGCGAATGGGGTGGAGAATGGTGAATGAATGCCCGTACGCTGTGCATTAACGTCGGCGCCACAGTCTCTTTGCTCACGATTTGTCCCAGCAGCGCGCGGCTCGCGGTCGTCGAAGGAGTGCAAGCATGGCAGGTCAGGAGACTGCAGCAGCACGTGGTCTATGCCGACACACTTGAAGACCCCCCTTGTTATAGGGCGCCCAGACACGGAGTGCGCGTTGTCAAAAGCCCACGGTGGATTGGTGCGTTGGCGGGGGCGCGGGGAAACGTGGCGCCTCTTCCTGCAGCTCTTGCTGAATTGCATTACGACGCGCTGCCTGAGTGCAGGGCTTGCTCCGCGCCCCGCGGGATCTACGGCCACGTTTGGCACTGCTGCCCCAGGTTAATCGATGGCGACGGTGTCGACCCCTTTTTGGAGGAGGTTCCTGAGGCTTTGGCACAGCATAGACGCGTTCTGATTAACTCTAGGCTGTCCGTATTTCGGGTTCCAGATTTGGAGTGTAATTATTTGACGCGTGGCATCCCGTCTCTCCCCTCCAACCACTAGGCCCCCGTGGACCACCCGCATGTTTTGGAATTTGGGGGCCGTCTTGGAAGTTTTGGGCCCGAGTCTTTCACTGACAGGAGTTGCCACCGCTCCCGCGTCCCCGAAGTGGCTCGCGCAGGCTGGAGTGCGTTCCAACTTGTTGGTTGCCTGTTACCTGCTAGGGCGATCTGCGGCCCGCCGCCACGTGGGCGGCAGACTGTTGGCCGTGCTGAACGTTGGGCAGCGCGACAAGGATTGGCCAGGCACCCAGGGCGTCGTTTGATCACTTCTGATCGGCGGCAGCGCGCGAATGGAAATTCTTGGGGCCCGGGCTCGCGCGTGGCACGGCCAAGCATGTTTTGCAACCTGTCACGGAAACTGGGCGCGCGCGTGGTTGTCTATATGTTCCCTGGAGGCCTACCCCCCAGTTTAATTAGTCTCCGCCCATCTGAGTGTAGGCGACGTTCTGGAGCGCGGCTTGGTCGCCACAATTTTGGCCGGGAATCCCGGGGCCGATTCGTTCGCCAAAATGGGAACAAACGCGCGCGCTCTGTCGCTTGTGCGAAGTCCTGCCATTCCAGTCGATGTGAAACATCGCAAGTCTATCCTGATTTCTTTAGCCAGGGCTGCCCAGAGGCTGTTCGGGGCCAAGTCATGTGCGGCCGCGCGCCCCGACCGCTTCCTCTGCCCCCTGACGCCCTCCACGCCTCTCAACGCACGGTCGCCAGCCACATCATGTTAAGATGTGCTGACACTTGCGTCATGAGGCGCAGTTGCTGTGGCCGCGTGGCCGGAACGGAGTCCCCCAAGAGTATTCTGACCAGTAAGGAGACCAGGCAGTGTCGCCCTTCTCCCATCCAGCAAAAAGCATGCGACCGCTCTTTTTCTGGATTTCGGGGCTCCCGCTGTGCCGTTGCAGGCCGAGACGGCGAGGGCTGCTCTGGAGTTTGCGGAGGTCCAACAGCAGGCTGACCCTGACGAGGTTCAGGACCCGCCCACTCCTCCGACCACGCCCGAGGCTGTCGATGTTTGTTCCAGTTTTCGTGAATCGGGCCACGAAGTCTTCAGCTATATGCACGTTTACTGCTGTCGCGCGCGCGGTGCTCACAGTTCTGTCGGCTCGATGCGCAACCTCTTGCACAGATGCCGAGGCCCCTCTGAGAAGCCCAGCACCAGCGAACCAGCACGTATTTGTCAGGCGTCTGGAGCGCGGATACTCTCCCAAGGGCGGCGCGCAATCGCCTGAGGCCCCTGAGCGCGAGTGTGAAAGCGCGCGGAGCTCCGACGCGTCCCCGCACGCTTGAGGCTAGGTTCAGTACCGCCCGTGCACCCGGGCCCGCCCGCGACGAAGCGAGCTCGGGCTTTGACGAGCCTCGTTTGGTCTTTCGGCCTCCCCCTCGTCTGTCGCCCGTCGCGCCCCCCCCTCGCCGTTCATGCCGCCGCCCTAAGGGATCTAAGGGAGGCATGAGGAGCAGGCCTTGTCTTGCACACCCCATAACCCTGGACAGCCTAATCAGGGAAGCGCAGCGTGCGCAGCAGGGGTTGCAGCAATAGACAGACAGATCGTTCCTCGGTCAGATGCGCTGGCCCCCTCCCTCGCCGCCGGCGCCTACCTGGTGCATTCGGCGCCGCGGAGGTGAGTGGCGGCCGAGGCAGCACGGCCGTGCGCGGCCTTGCGTTTTTCCACAGGCACGCGCCTCTCTATGACCGCCAGCCCGAGGATTGCCTCTTGCTGGTGGCGCTGCGGTCCGCGCGCTCCTCCATTTCGTGCGTCCACACACGCCATCATGCCATCCTCTCCCCTTTTCGGCTAACATGTGTCAAACACCGTCCGTCCTCGAACGCAAATTGTGTTTCTAACAAGTGTCTGACGTTTGACGTCTGTCAGGTAACATCCTCCTTGTCCTCATTCATCTACTCTCCTTTTTCTCCTTCTGACAACGGTCGCGATCAGTCGTGGGGCGAGGCTGGAAAGTCGCAGCCGCGATTGGTCGCGACTTATTTTGGAATCGGTCGCGACCGATTTTGAATGTCCATCGGTAGCTACCGATCGCGCCCGACAAATGTGGGTATCGGATGATTTGGGGAAGTCCCGACCGCTTCCCCGTGGAGCTTTTGCCCCGGAATCGTTTTTGATCATCCCGGGGCCCGAAAATGCCCCCAAAGAACCAAAATCCAGGAAACGCCCGCCGGTTGAACATGAAAGCATCGCCGGAGTTCTGGGCCCTATCCGTCTTTCCCTTCCTGCTTCCCATCCAGCGCCCCTCCTCGCATCATCATTTGCGCCTTCCTTGCCCAGCGCCCTGCCGCGAGGCAGGTCGCGGACCTCCACAAGCAGCTCGAGGCGCGGCGGAGGGGCGGCGAAGGGTGCGCCCTTCAGCCCCCGGAGGGGTGCTTCCATCTTCTGCCCTACCAGACTGGTGACTGGAGATAACCCCCGGTTCCTTTCGTCGTGAAACAATTGCGACGTTGTCCCGTGGTCGTCTTGCGGCGGTCCTGTAAGTCTTGCTGTGGTTGTCCCGTGGCTTGTCCTATGGTTGTCCTGTGGCTGTCCCGTGGATGGTGTCCCGTGGCTGTCCCGCGATTGTTGTCCCAGTCATGGTCCCGAGTGTTGTTTCGTGGTTGTCCGGTGGGTTGTTTTGCGGGCTGTCTCGTGGGTTGTCCCGTGGTTGTTCTTATATTGTCACGCAGGTTTTTTTGTGATTGTCCCATGGACTGTCCCGTGGCAGTTCCGTGGTAGTCCCGTGGTTGTCCCGTGGATTGTCCCGTGGTGGTCCAGTGGTTGCCCAGTAGTTGCCCCGTGGATGTCCGTGGATGGCCCCGTGGGTTGTTTCGCTGGTTGTCCAGTCGGTTGTCCCGTGGATGTTATGTGGATCGCCCCGCGGTTGTTTCGTGGTTGTCCCGTGGGTTGGTTCGTGGGTTGTCCCGCGGTTGTCCCGTGGGTTGTCCCGTGTATGTGTGTTGTCCCGCGGTTGTCCCATGGCTGATCCGTGGGTTGCCCCGCGGGTGTTCCGTGATTGTCCAATGGGTTTTGCAGTGGGCTTTTTTTTGCACCACAGTGTACGGAATCGACGTGCAACTCGAAATGCAAATGCCATCGTAATCAAACCGCCAATCGAAGTTATAGTAGGACTGCAAATGAAAATACACATCGGCGCGGCGAGACAAACAGACACACACAGACTCTCACATGCACGCACAGGTAAACAGTAAACACATACGTACGGGAACATGGGAACTCAAGGAGACGCACACATGCTCAGACACAGGCACACACACATGGTTCGGAACCATGCCAGAATTATACTATCATACACGCATACGTACACGCATACACGCACACACATTCACACGTGGGTAAGCGAGCGCATACACACATGCACATGCACGTGCACATACACTCACGCATACACAAGTAAGCATCGCTTTGTGAATCGTAGTTACCAGGAAGCTGGATACGCACGACGTGGCTGACCTGGGCATGAGCTGGATGCACACGTGGTCGTTCCAGTGCGTGGCCACTCTATGGCCATGTAGGCCGGGCTCCCGCATCATCGACGGAAAAAAACGGGGTCGGTTGCGCCAGCATTCGCACGTAAGCTCCCCGCGTAATGCCGCGCCTTCTTCTCCACGCGGTGTGCCACGCCGGCGGCCCGCGTAAGCCGCAGCACCAAGTCGCCATAGCTTCTCGCGTAAGACCCGCCCGTTTTCGTCGCTCTCGAGTGTATCCAGCGCGTCGCCTCCGGATGCGCCTGACGTGCATCCAGCCACGGGTGTTTCCAGCTTCGTGCTCGCCGTCGGGCGCGAAACGGCCGCGGAAGCGAGGCACGACGGCGGCGCTGCAGCGGCGGGGCGCGGCATCGCGGTGACAGCGCCTCGAGGATCGGCAGCGGCGTCGGCAGCCACCGACCCCCCCCCCCACGTCTTCTCGTTGTGCGAAACCACGACGGGAGGCTCTTGGCCGCTTTCGGCTTCTGGGGGGCCTTCACCGGGCCCGGGGACCGTCAAAAATGACTTGGATGAAAACAGGTCCCCGGGAAGGGGTCCAGACCTGTGGGGGTCGGCGTCATGAACAAAAATCGCGACGTGGGAGTTCTGGGTCCACGGGCCCACAAAGTCGGCGATTACAGTGGGTGTGGTTACGCTGGGGTGTTGTTTGCGATCTGCGCCGTTGTGGCTTCGGGGCTCCACGCTGGGCCAATGGCTTGATGATTTCGCGTCGGGGTGCGGTGGGGAACTTTGTCGAGGTCCTCGACTGCCCCCCTGGGCGCGGGTTGCAAACCGGACCCTTTGCAAACCAAACGCGTCGGAGTCGCCGACACAGGCCGCCAAAGGTTTTAAGACAGCAAAGAGAAATTTATTCATGACAACTGAAAGATTGAAAATGATACCGGAGAAAAAACCCAATCATAATCTTTTTAGGGCTGTAGGGCCACAGGGCTATATGGGCTATAGGGCTATTGGGCTATAGGGTAATAGAGCTACAGGGCTATAGGGCTATAGGGCTGTAGGGTATAGGGGTATAGGGCTATAGAGCTATAGGGCTATACGGCTGTAGGGCCATAGGGCTATAGGGCTTAGGGCTATAGGGCTATAGAGCTATAGAGCTGCAGGGCTATAGGGCTATTGGGGCTATATGGCTATAGGGCAACAGCGCTATTGGGCTACAGGGCTAGGGTTATCAAGCTATAGGGCTATAGCGCTGTAGGGCTATAGGGCTACAGGGCTATAGGGCTATAGGGCTATGAACTATAAGGCTACAAGGCTACGGGGCATTCGCCTACAGGGCTATTCGGCTATAGGGCTCTAGGACTATGGAGCTGTAGGGCTATAGAACTCTTGGGCTATACGGCACCCGGGCGCTGGGCACCCCCGGACACCCCCGGGCACCTCCGGGCACCCCCGGGCACCAGGTGCCCGGGCATCCGGGCACCCGGGCAACCCCGGGCACCCAGGCCCGGCCACCGAAATCGGACACCCGGGCACCCTCGGGCACCCCCGGGCACCTGGGCCCCCTGGGCACCCGGGCCTGGCCACCGAAATCAGGCACCCGGGCACCCCCGGGCACCCCCGGGCACCCCTGGGCACCCCTGGGCCTCCCTGGGCACCCCCGGGCACCCGGCCGCCGGCCACCAAATCGGCACCGCACCTCACCATATGAATCCGCTGAGACCCCTACAGAGGCAAGCTCTGATTGGGGAACTTTTCTCGATGCTTGATCTTTTCTCTCCCCCTTGATTGTGGCGGCGCGCGAATCGAAAGAGGCTCTACCCTCTACCTCGTTGTCGGCGTCGCCGTCGCCGTTCTCGTCTGCGATCGTCTTCGCCCGTCGTCTTCGATGGTGGTCGTCTTCGCCCATCGTCTGCGCTCGTCGTCTTCGTCCGTCGTCGTCGTCGCGCGTGGTCGCCTTCGCTCGTCAGAGCCGTCGTCGGTTTCCCCTCGTGGCGGCCTCGGCAAGGCGAACGAGGAGGAGTCCCGTGGCTCATCGCTCGTACGCTCGCAGCTGCGCGACCTGGCCGAGACGGCCCCTGCGGGGCGGGGCTGCGCAGGGAGAGGAGGGAGGGGGGTAAAGGAGGAGAGAGGGAACTCCAACCTCCTCTGTTCGGTTAAAAATCACGACAGGAAGGGGGGGGAGGGGGGGGGAGGGGGGAGCGTTTTCGGCCTCTGCAGGCTGGGCTTGGGGAGCCTCCAAAATTACATTTGGGGATCGAAGTTATGACAAGATCACGACGTCGAAGTTTTGGGGAGTAGGAGGAGGAGGAGGAGGAGGAGGAGGAAGAGGAGGAGGAGGAGGAGGAGGAGGAGGAGGAAGGGCGAAGGCTGATCAAGAGCCGAGAATCCAGGTCCAATTTATTGCGAAGGCCTTACGGCCAGTACCGCCGACCCTGAAGGGAGACGACGACGACGGCGGCGGCGGCGTCGTCGACGACGACGCTGACGCTCTGGAGCCCTTCGTGGCCCGTTTCGGGAGCCTCATGGGCCCTCTTGGAAGCCTCTTTGGGAACTTCTTTGGAAGCTCCGTGGTCACTTGGAGCAGTCTTGGAGGTGTTCTGAAGCCTTTTGGAGGCATTTCGGAAAATAGGCAGCACCCCGCAGCAGCAGACAAGAGTGAGGAGTGTGCATCCGGGGGGCAGGGTCCGTGAGAGAGGTGGGGGTCTCCCTGTCTAGAGGGGGAACAGGGGGGAGCGTTCCTTGTCTCCCCTTGTCCACAGGGAGGAGGAGGAGGGGGGGCGGGAGCCCTGAGTTGCCCTTGTCCACAGGGGGAGCCACCCCCTTGTCCCCCTTGTCCGCACACCTCAATGCGAACCCTTTGGGGTTCCACGTGGATCTCGCGCGAAGATATTCAAAGTTGCCCGGAGAAAGAGCTCTTCAGGATGTATGGTATGGAATGGTAGTGGTAGTTTGAGTAGGTAGTAGTATTAGTCGCTGTCAGAACAATAGGATTAGGAGTCGTGGCACCAGCTATCGTGGTAAAGACGTAGCAAGTAGCACGTGCCAGAATACTATTTCTTAGTAGCTGCAGTACTACAGTTCGGTGAACCATTTGGTGGTGAAAATCCTGACCGAGCGGGGCATGGGGTAGTGGTGATTGGGGCGTGGATCGCTCTACCCGCCGTCTGAAACGGCGGCCGTGACATCCCCGCCAGGGCCGCGCGCGCTCACGAACGGAGGCGCTCGCCCTTGACATCGACCATGGCCTGCATCCGTCGGAGGGGTACGCATCGGCTCAAGCCGTCGACTTCTGGTTAGTGTGGCCTGCGCAGTCCGACAACGTGCTCACGAGCTGTTTCCGGAGCGACTCCAGCCCGCGCCTTTTCCGCAGCGGGTGGACAGAACCCCCACCCTGACACGTCGACTAGTGAATTGTCCATTTTCGCTTCTCGAGAGGGCGCCGCGGCCGTCCTTTTCCAGGCTTGCGCCCGCCAGGTTTGGTCCCGAGGTCGTTCTCACGAAACCACGTTTTACTGAAGGGGGTTCTGTCCATCCCCGATTTCTGCAGCGGGTGGTCCTTGAGATACTTGCGGGCCCACGTCGTCGGGGTCTCATGCGGGAAGAGATCTGGCATGTTCGCCGAGCGGCGGCTGGCGTCGTCGCCGGCCCAGGGCCGGAATCCGCCCTGCTTCACCGCGTTCTGGTAGTCCAATATAGTCCTGCGCGGCGTGACCAGTGCTCGCCTGGAAGAAGCCAGGCCCGCGATCCGTGGCAGCGACGCGAGGGAGTCGGCCGTCGCGCCCCGCAGTTGTTCCGAAGGGTGCCGTCGAGGTTGGACACCATGGTTGCCATGCCTTTGCCGTTCTGCCGTCACCCATCCTCCCTGATTGTGAACTGAGCGGAACCCCTGGCCACGACGACGACGAATCACCAGACACGCTTGTCGCCGCTGTGGAACTGCTTCGTGGCGTACGGAGATGCCTTCAGGTTGCGCGAGAATGCCCTCAGGAGATCCACCGCTTGCCCATCGTGCAAATCACCGGGTGCTCGCTGAACGAGGTCTTCGGCGCCTCGGAGAGGACCGAGCTGCACTGGTCCATCCAGATCACGTTGGGGAAGTGCCAGAACTCATCGCGCCCCTTGCGCTACTCGGCCTTCCCCCACGCCAGCCTCAACTGCACTTGTTCTGGAGGTAGCGCCGCCTTCATGTAGGGGGGGATCTGGCCCCAAGGCTGCTCGGCGCCGTCGTCGAAGCACTGAGTCCTGAACACATTCAAGATCATTTTCTTGTCGAGCGGCGCGTTCGTGTTGGGTTCCTCGTGGCGGCAGGGCAGCGCTCGATGACAGCGGGCACAGAAGGCTCGACACCGTCTCGCTTCAATGACTTCGACGCCCGCGCGATAGCCTGCTACTTCTGGCCAGTGAACTGGCGTTTGGGCCCGCGCTTGGCCGCGTTGTCCCCCCTCCGCCCAGGGTACCAGGACTCGCCCAGGAACTCCGCCTGCAAGGGACTGATTGTCCGTCGGTTGCGGTGGCCACCGCCGACTTTCACAACGAATTCGGCAATATCTGCCTGCGTGAGCTTCACCTTCGTCTTCTTCATCTTCTTCTTCTGCTTCTTCTTCTTCTTCTTCGCAAGTTTGGTCAGGGCCCACGCTTGCTCCTGGGCCCAGGGGACAAGGCGCCCGTTTTCCCTGAGACCCACCAGTCAGGCCCGCGCGGAACGGCCATCTGGGAAGTTGGAGAGCAGAGGGGATCTGCAAACTCATCGAGAAAGAGTTGGGCGCTCGGCAACTCGCCACCGCTGGGCCTGTCACGGCTATGGAGGTGCACGGTGCAGACGCGATCGACGGTCCCCCGCGCTCACCAAAGGGCATCTTTTTCGGGAGTGCCCCGCCAGTCATGTCGCGGACTGCTGGAGCGCTGACGTTCAGACTGCCGGTGGCAACGCCGCAGGTTCCAGAGCATACGCCGTGCGCTGCTGGAGCCACCGCCCCTCGTAAAAAGTGGTGCTGGAAACCCTCTGTCTTGTACGCGTGAGCTGGTGAAATTTGGCTGCCGGAGCTCACCCGGCTTGTAGCCACGAGCTGCTGCAACCACGGCCCCTCGTAGAAAGTGGGTGCTGGAACCCACGCCATGGGCTGCTGGAGCCGCCGTCCCTCGCAGAAATGAGGTGCTGGAGCCCACCTGGCTTGTAGGCATGAGCTGCTGGAACCTCTGCACCTCGTAAACATGTGGTGCTGGAGCCGACGCCGTGGGCTGCCGGAACCGCCGTCCCTCGTAGAAAATAATGGTGTTGGAGCCCATGTGTCTTGTAGGCAGGAGCTGCTGCAACCCTTGTCCCTCGTAAAGTTGGGTGCTGGAATTGACGCCGTGGGCTGCTGGAACCATTTTCCCTCGTGCGCAATGGGTGCTGGAACCGATCTGTCTTGTAGGCACGAGCTGCCGAGGCCATTTTCCCTCGTAGAAATTGCACGCTGGAGCCACACCCTGTTTGGGGAAAGTGTATAAAGAAGGGGGGGGGGGACGGGCTTGGGTGCGGGAGTCGGAGGCTGATAGACCTCCTACCCTGACACGTCGATTAGCGCATTAGCCGTTTTCGGTTCGTTTTCGGTTCGCGGTTCGGTTCGCGGTTCGTTCGATTTGTCCACCGCCGAGGGAGTCCCAGCATTGTAGTGACGCCTCAGCCCCACATTGGGGCAGTCCGCGCGCCCTCGTGCGCGTGCGGTTGGTTGGTCGGTCCGTCTGGGCGTCGGCGTCGGTCGAGCGGTCGGTCCGTCGGTCGTCGTCGTCGGTCGTCGTCGTCTTGATCAGACGGTCGGTCGGTCCGTCAGTCGTCGTCGTCTCGGTCGGTCGGTCGGTCGGTCGTCGTCGGTCGTCGTCGACTCGGTCGGTCGGTCGGTCAGACGGTCGTTCGTTCGGTCCAGTCGTCGGTCGTCGGTGGGTCGTCGTCTCGGTCGGTCGGTCGGTCGGTCGCTTCGGTTGTCGGTTGTCGGTCGGTCGGTCGGTCGGTCGTTGGTCGTCGTCGGTCGTCGTCGTCTCGGTCGGTCGGTCGGTCGGTCTGTCGGTCGGTCGTCGTCGTCGTCGTTTCGGCCAGTTGGTCGGTCGGAAAGTCCGTCTGGTCGTCGGCGTCGGTCGGCCATTCGGTCTGTCCGTCGGTTGTCGTCGTCGGTCGTCGTCGTCGTCGTCGTCGTCGTCGTCGTCTCGGTCGGTCGGTCGGTCGGTCGGTTGGTTGGTCGCTCCAGTCGTCGTCGCCGTTCTCGTGGCTCCCTCATGGCTCCTTCATGTCTCCCTCATGGCTCCCCCAAGGCTCCCTCATGGCTCCCTCATGGCTCCCTCGTGGCTCCCTTGTGGCTCCCTTGTGGCTCCCTAGCGGCTCCCTCACGGGTTCCTCGTGGTTCCCTCATGGCTCCCTTATGGTTGTTGGACTGTCGGCGTTTGGTGTTCAGGGTTTGGTGTCTGGTGTTTGGTGTTTGATGTTGGGTGGTTGGGGTGTGGTGTTTGGTGTTTAGGATGTTGGGGTGTTGGTGTTTTGTTTTTTGTTGGGGGGGTTGGTGTTCAGGGTTTGGGGTGTGGTGTTTGGTGTTTGGGGTGTTGGTGTTTGGTTTGAGATCTGGTGTTCGGTGGAGTTGGCGGGGTTGGGTGTTGATTCATGGTGTTCCATTGTTTTTTTGGTAGAGAGCGCTTTTTCCTAAGAGCGAAGAACGAGCCCTTTTACCAGAGGGTAAGTTTTTTCTCCCGGAGCTTCACTTCCCCTTGTCCACAGGAGGGGCACCCCTGGGGGACCCCCCGGGCGGTATATTCTGACCTGGGACCCCCCCCTTTACCGCTCCCCTCCCTCCCTTGCTCCACCCCCTCCCGGCACCCCACCCTCTTCAAGCGGGGGAGGGATCTAAGAGAAGGGGCTTCCCTTCAAGTGAACAACGACGTTTTTCAATTTCCTTCGGACTGACGACGACGACGACGACGGCGACGACAGCGTCTTCCACACGCCGATAGGGTCGGCGGGTTTGCATGGAGACGACTGGTACATAGGTCACCTGCGGGGGCGCGAAGATGATCGTGCTTTGCGCGTCGCGGTGCAGGCCAGAGCGACAGCCCTTCTCCAGGGGGGGGGCGGCGCGATGAAGCGAAGAAACGTAGCTAATCGCTCGTCGCGCATCGCGGGGCGCGATGCGCGAAGTTGGGTAGCCTAGGGTACTGCCAGGCCAATCAACTGATGTTCCCACCTCCCTCCGAAGCCGCACATGTTGGCTCAAGTCACAAGGTGCCGCTTCATCCATCATTCTGGCTGCAAGCCAGTCGCACTGGTTGTCTATGGAGAGGGCACCCTTGGCGATCCAAACGGTTGTGGAGGCCTACGTCTCAAGCGTCGCGCCTGCGTCGGCCTTTGGCTTTTTGACCCTAGTGCCGTGGAGCCTGCAAGACCAGCCAGCCAACGTGCTAGCCTCAGGTCATGGAGAAATGACCAGGGCAGCATCACCCAGATTGTGGAGCAGCACGAGGCTGTGGTGATCCCGTCCGTGTAGAAGACAAGGAAGGAGAAGAGGGGCTTGACGCGTCTCTTGGACTATCTGAGGGCCGCGCACCCTGACGCGTTCGTTTTCTTGGTGCAGCTGCCAGATCGTTTGGGTGTCAAGCTGACCAAGGGCTACCTCCGGACCTTGATGGCGAGGCAGGATGCGCTCTACAGCTTTGGGGCGAGCGGCGTGCTGATGGAGCTGGAAGGTGACCCAGAGGGCTTGCAGCAGAAGGTACGTCTGGAGCTTGCAGAGAACACCGCGATGCAGCTGCGTGTGCAATCCTACGAGACCACCGTGACAGCGGGAGTACTTTCTTCCAGCGAGATCCAGACCATCGAGGACGAACGCGACAGTCTTCTCTGGGAGACCATCCCGAACTTGCTGTTGCCCGGCTTGAAATTTGTGTTGTGCCAGTATGTGCTCCCCAAGCATCACCCGCAAACGAGCGGCCTACACGCGCCTGGCTGACAGAACGTCCACCGCGTCGGAGGCGCTCGCCCTGCGGAGGGGCTCGGGCCTCAGCAGCGCCTCCAGGCACGCCAACGCCGCGCCGTCGTGCACGCCGCCCATGATCGCCATCGCCTGGGCATGGGAGCCGGCTTGGGCGAAGAACTTGAATATCTCCCGCGTGGCATGCGCGATGGATGCGCAATGGCGCCATGGCACCGAGAACTCGAGCGAGCCTTGCCCGCAAGCGGTCTCCAGGAGCACCACCCCTAGGCTCCAACAATCTGCCGGCTTGGGCCAATACGGCTCTCCCAGCGCTGTCTCCGGAGCGACGCACGGAAGAGAACCGCACAGGGTCTCCCGCGTGCTGGAGTCTGGAACGTGGGCTGCCATGCTGAAGTCCACCAGGCGGCAAACGAGCCGATTCCTCGCCATCTCTACCGACACGTGCCTGAGGGACACCTGCCCGTGGGTAACATTATTGGCGTGGCAGTGTGACAGAGCACTCGCGATCTGGGTGGTGCAGTCCACGGCATCATCCATGGACAAACGGCGGCCTGGTCGAGTCGACAGCACCTGCTCCATGCAGAAGTCGCCGCCATACTGGAGCACCAGGTGCACATGGGACTGGCTGTGCAGCATGTTTACGCAGCGGATGATATGTGGGTGGTCGAGGACGTGTGTCAGGAGGTTGAACTCCTGGTAGATGCTCTCCACCTCCTCGGCAGCGGTGACGCTGCGCTTGTTGCGCATCTTGATTACGACGTTCTCGTGCTGCCCGTTAAACGCCAACAAGACGTGCTGATGGTTTTCGTACTGCCGCACCAGCTTGAACTCCCCGACCCTGTCCCCCTGTTCCAGCAAGCGCTCGTCTAGAGCAGGGGGCAGATTTCTCTGATCGGCACCGGCGCCCCCCGCCCCTGGCGTGCTCCGCGCGCCAGGGAGGGGGGTCCAGCGCCGATCCCAGAAATCCGCGTGGACCTTCAAAGTTTTTATGTATGCCAGTAGTTGTTCCCCGAGGTGCGCCCACTCCCAGGAGTTGGTAATGGCGTCCTTCGAAGAAGAAGAGCGCATCTGCATCCACCTGCACCTGATTTTTCGGCATTGTCCATGTGAGCTCGGTCAGAATGCACACGTTCGCCTGACAGTGTTCAAGCACAGGTTGCGGTTTGCGCAGGTGTTCGCCTTTCGGCATTTGCCTGAGCGCCTTGATGGGTTACTCCGTCACAAGTCCTTCTGTACCCTAACTCGCTGGCTCCCACATGCAATTGCAGCACTATTCATGTGCTGTGGTCGCAGTGGCAATCAGCAGGGTAAGATTTGATCATCTGGGTGAACTTTTTATTCCGTCCTCTCGAGTTTCCCAAGTCAATGCTACTTGATCCAGCTGTGCCAAGTAGCAGCGACTTGTTACCTTCGCGAGCCTCTGCGCTTAGCGATATTGCAGGTTTTCCGTCTGTCCACCCCCCAGACCTCTCTGAATGCATGCCCGTGCTAGTAATCGTGAGAAGCACCGATGGGAGGGGTAGCAAATGCACTCCCCGATTGGATGACATCCCCGAGGCAGAAGCACAACATGGTTATACACTGTTACGATGGGGCCCACGAGGGGGGGTCACGAGCCACGATGGAGGGCCACGATGGGGGGATCGGGGTATCGTAGGGATAGGGATAGGGTTGTGGAGGACGATCAACGGAGAGGAAGCATGCTGCCAAATAATTTCCATGTGCTTTAAACATGTTTCAGGCATGTAAAAAAAACGTGCTTAAATTATTTCTCCTACATGTTAAGCACATGTTCAACTCAATGATAGGACTGTCAGGGTGTCCACTGTCGTGGCATCCACAAGGATAGGGAGTGCAAATTACTACATCGAATAGCGAGAACGGCGGCGGCGCGTCAACGGCCGCTCCCTTGAAGTCTGACGCATCTGGTCGGCAGTCTCTTGGAGGCGGTTATGAAGCCTCTTTGGGAGCTCTGCTGGGCGCCGTTTGGGGGCTTCTTGGGGCCTCTGTTGGGCCTCTTGGGGGCTTAATGTAATTTCGAGTTCTGGCTCTAGGGCCCTCTTGGGGCCGTCATGGGCCGTCTTCGGCGCGTCTTGGGCCGTCTTGGGGCCTTCCTCGGGATCTCTGGGGCGATCTTGGGGCGGTCTTGGGAGCTTGTAGGCTCGCTCGTCGTGGACGCTCAGAATCCCGAGAGTCGCACATGCTAAAGTTATACGTCTTCCCATAGGAATCGGACGATGTTTGCCTTTCGGGGCCTTCTTGGAAGGCCTCTTGAAGCCCTCTTGTGGACCGTCTCAAGGCCATCTTGACCGTCTTGGGGCGGTCTGTCGCGACGTGGAGCCTTCTTGGACCCTTTTTGGGGCCGTCTTGGGGTTCTTTGGGGTCGTCTTGGGGCCCTGAGGGGTTTCTTGAAAGCTTCGCGTCGGGGGGGTCTGCGAAGGACTGCCGACAGAGTGGAGGCCCAGAGGAAGGACTTCAGGGAGATTTTCACCAGGCCCAGGCGAATCCTACCAGGCACTTGGTCAGAGTGGTCTCGCACGGCCCAACCCGCAGGGCGGGAGCGGCCGGATCAAGGACGCCGGCGGCGCATCACTGGCCGCTCCCTGGGAGTTTGCCGAAGTGGTGCGCAGCATCGAAAGTCGTGACGCGGCGCGCATGCCAGCTATCAAATGGCCGTCGGCCCATCCCGCCACCGTGCGGGGTTTTGGGTCGGAGTCCTCATGGACGCTTCTTGGGGTCTCTCGAGAGGGCTCTTGCGGGCCTCTGCGGGGGAGTTTAGGAACCTCTTGGGGGCCTCCTGGCGGCTTCTTGGGAGCCTCGGGTTCCCCTTCTGGGCGCCCTCTTGGGGCCGTCCTGGGGCCCCTCTGGGGCCGTCCCGGGGGTCTCTTGGGCCGTCTTGGGGCCCTCTTGGGCTGTCTTCGGGGTCTCCTTGGGGCCTCTTGGGAGCCTCTTGGGGGTCTCCTTTGGGCCTCTTCGGGGTCTCATTGGGGCCTCTTAGAAACGATATGTGGGGTCTCATAGGGGATCTCGCCTCTTGGGGGCCTCTTGGGGGCGTCTTGGGGCCTCTTGGGACCTTCTTGGGGCACCCTAGGGCCCTCTCGGGGCGGAAAGGTCGAGTTTTCGCTTCGTGGGCTCCCTCTTGGGCATCTCTTGGGACCGTCTTAGGGCCCTTTTGGACCGTCTGGGGCGCCTCTCGGACCGTCTTGGGGCCCTCTTCGGCCGTCTTGCGGCCGTCTTGGGGGCCTCTTGGGCCGTCACGAGGGCTTCTAGGGCCGTCGTGGGGCGATCTTGGAAACCTTTTGGTCCGTTTTGGAGCGTCGGAAAGCCGAAAAGGCGAGAAGGTCAGAAACCTTCAAAAACGCTAGGGAACTCATTGATTTTTGCCTCGTGGGGCCATCTTGGGAGGCCTCCTGGAGGTCTCTTGGGCCGTCATGGGAGCATCTTGGGCCGTCTTGGGGCCATCATGGGACCTTGTGGCCATCTTGGGCCTCCTCAGGCTCTCTTCGGAGCCTCTTCGGGCAATCTTGGAGGCCTCTCGGGCCGTTCTGACCGCGCGGTGGCGTCGCCATGAGAATCCTGGGGGTGGCCCGGAGCAGCCAGCATTTGAGGTTCCTCCCCCCCCGTTGGTTGTTTGGTGGTGCGGCGGGGCCCCCTCGCAGACTGTAAACGGGAGGCAGGAAACAGGACTGGAGAGACAAAAGGCCAAACAACACATTGCAGCACATAAGACATGACAGCAGACCGCACACACCTTCGCAGCCTTGCGCCCCCAGAAGGGGCCGGCATAATTATGTATTCCTATATGTATACGCATAAATGTATTCATCTTATTACTCACATTCGTCTGTCTCATACAAGTGCGAATGCTATTGCGACTGCTAATCGAAGACGCCTACGGCGAATCACCGCCGCCCCCTGCCTCTTTGGAAGCGCCTATGTGGCCGACAGCTGGGCTAGAGCTTGGCTAAGCTATCGGGCCAGCTGTTCCCCGAGTCGGTTTGGAAAACCTTCGGGGAACGCGTGGGGGAGCAATAGGAGGAGGAACAGGAGAGTGAGGAGGAGGATGATTAGGAGGAAGATGAGGATGAGGATGAGGATGATGGGGAAGAAGGAGGAGTAGGAGGAGGAGACTTCTTGGGAACCGTCTTGCGAGGCCTCTTGGGAGGCCTCTGCGGAGCGCCTGGGAGCCGTGTGGAGGCCTCTTGGGAGCCTCCCTGGGCCTCTTGGGGGCCTCTTGGGGGCTTCTTGGGGGCCTCTGGGGGCTTCTTGGAGGCCTCTTTGGCCGTTTTAGGGCGTTCCCGACCCGTCTGACACCGTCGGAAGCCGTCCTGGGGGCTCTGAACCGACTTGGGGTCTGAGCCGTCTTGGAGAGTATCTTGGACGTCTTGGAGGTCGCCGTCTTGGGGGCCTCTTGGGCCGTCATGCGGCCATCTTGGAGGCCTCTTGGGCGATCTTGGGGCGACCTTGGGCCGTCGGAAGGCCGACAAGGCGCAAATGCCAAAATCTGTCGAACATCTACGACAGATCAATGATGTTGGCCTCTTCGGGCCTTCCTGGAGGAACTCTTGGAGGCCTCTTGGGCCGTCTGGGCGGCCTCTTAGGGGCCTCTTGGGCCGTCTTGGGCCATCTTGAGGCCGTCTTGGAGGCCGTCTGAGCTGTCTTGGAGGCCATCTTATGTCATCTTGGAGCCATGTTGAGGCCATCTTAGGCCATCTTGGGTGCATCCTGGGGGCCATCTGAGCCGTCTTGGAGGCCATCTTGGTCATCTTGGAGGCCTCTTGGGGCCCTCTTGGGGCCGTCTCTGGGGCCTCTTGGGCCGTCATGGGGCCATCTTGGGGGCCTCTTGGGCGATCTTGGGGCGATCTTGGTGGCCTCTTGGGCCGTCTTGAGCCGGCGGAAGCCCGAAAAGGAGCAAAAGCTAAAAAGTTTGAAAAAACAAAGGAACAATGATTTTGGTCTCTTCAGGTCCTCCTGGAGGACCTCTTGGAGGCCTCTGGGGCCGTGTTGCAGGCCTCTTGGGGGCCCCTTGGGCCGTCTTGGGCCATCTTGCGGCCATCGTCGGCAGTTTTGGGTGCATCTTGGGCCGTCTTGGAGGCATCTTGGGGGCCATCTGAGCCGTCTTGGAGGCCATCTTGGCCGTCTTGGAAGCCTCTTGGGGCCCTCTTGGGGCAGTCTCGGGGGCCTCTTGGGCCGTCATGGGACCATCTTGGAGGCCTCGTGAGCGATCTTGGGGCGATCTTGGTGGTCTCTTGGGCCATCTTGAGGCCGTCTTGGAGGCCATCTTGGCCGTCTTGGAGGCCATCTTATGTCAGCTTGGAGCCATGTTGAGGCCATCTTAGGCCATCTTGAGTGCATCCTGGGGGCCATCTGAGCCGTCTTGGAGGCCATCTTGGCCGTCTTGGAAGCCTCTTGGGGCCCTCTTGGGGCAGTCTCGGGGGCCTCTTGGGCCGTCATGGACCATCTTGGAGGCCTCGTGGGCGATCTTGGGGCGATCTTGGTGGTCTCTTGGGCCGTCTTGAGCCGTCAGAATGCCGAAAAAGAGCAAATGCCAACATCCTTCAAAAATCTTAGGAGAATCAATGATTTTGGTCTCTTCGGGTCCTCCTGGAGGACCTCTTGGAGGCCTCTTGGGCCGTGTTGCAGGCCTCTTGGGGGCCTCTTCGGCCGTCTTGGGCCATCTTGCGGCCATCGTCGGCAGTTTTGGGTGCATCTTGGGCCATATTGAAGGCATCTTGGGGCCATCTGAGCAGTCTTGGAGGCCATCTTGGCCGTCTTGGAGGCATCTTGGGGCCCTCCTGGGGCCGGCTTTGGAACCTCTTTGGCCGTCATGGGGCCATCTTGGAGGCCTCGTGGGTGATCTTGGAGCGATCTTGGGGGCCTCTTGGGCCGTCTTGAGCCGTCGGAAGTCCGAAAAGGAGCAGAAGCTAGACTTCTTCAAAAACCTACGGAAAATCAATGAATTTGGCCTCTTCGGGCCCTCCTGGAGGACATCTTGGAGACCTCTTGGGCCATCTTGGAGGCCCCTTGCGCCGTCTTGGGCCGTCTTAGGTGTTTCTTGTGCGAACTTGGAGGCATATTGGACTCTCTTGGGCCGTTTTCGAGGCCATCTTGGACCATTTTGGACGAACATGGAGGCCATCTTGGCCCATCTTGACCATCTTGGAGGCCATATTGGAGCCGTCTGGAGCCGAAAAACCCTTTGCAACCACCTGTTACGGATCTCCGGCGGGACGGGCCGAACCCCCAGGGGAAGTTCTTTTGGAAAAGAACCGAAACCCTTGTGATGAATCAACAGGGGGCGGCGAATATAATTGCCTTCGGCCCAACCCCGCCACCGTGGCTTGGTTGCGGGTCAGAGTTCTCATGGATGTTTCTTGGGGTCTCTTCGGAACGCTCTCGGGTGCCTCTTGGGGGCAGTCTGGGGGCCTTTTGGGAGCCTCTAAGTTCTTAGTGGCCTGTTGGGGGCCTCTTCGGGGCCGCTGGGGGGCCTCTTAGGAGCTTCTTGGGAGCCTCTTGGGGCCTCCTGGGGGGGCCCTCGGGTCCGAGGGCTCGAAATGTCGGTTCGGGTCCCCTATCTGGCCCCTCTCTTGGAGCCGTTTTTGGGGCCTCTTGGTCCGTCTTGGGCGCCTCTTCGGCCGTCTTGGGGACCCCCTTGGGCAGTTTTGGGGCCCTCTTGAAGGCCTCTTGGGTCGTCTTGGGGCGATACGTGGGGCCTCTTGGGCGTCTTGGAGCGTCGGGAAGCCGAGAAGGCGAGAACTTGAAAATTATTCAGAAGCCAATGGATAATCAATGGTGCTGGCCTTTCGGGGCCCGCTGGGGAGGCCTCTTGGAAGCCTCTTTGGGCGTCTCGGAGCCTTCTTGGGCCGTCTTGAGAGCCTCTTGAAGCCCTCTTGGCCCGTCTTGGGGCCCTCTTGGGCCCGGTAGCGGGACTGTTCAGAGCCTGGGTTTTCGGCAGTCGGCAAATTTTCGGAGTTGGCATCCTCCCAGGCATCAGCTTCTATGTGAATGTAGGAATCGGTTTCTATAGACAGGGTGTAATTCCCACTCTTGCGAGGGTCCGGATGTATTCATTCTTTCGGAGAGGTAGTTCTGGGGTTGCTGACAGCGGCCAATTCAGATTTAATCGCTCTACATTTTTCGCTCTCTTTCTTCCAGCAGTTGCCCGAGGACCACGAGGTGCGAGTCGATCGAGGATGCATTCCCGTTGCAGTGATCATGGGCGTCGCCAGAAAGTGCTCTCGCGTGGATCGTTTTTCTTAACCTGCTTGTGTGGAACACTGGGCGCCAGTGTATGCCACGTCGTGCACCCATCGCAGGCGACAGGGGATGGATCGTGTGAAGTCATAGCTTGCTCTGCGGCGCACCCGCAATCTTTCAATATTTTCCAGATTTTTCGAAGTTTCCAGCTGGCGCCGGGTGGCCATTTCCAGCATGCTGGCTGGGAGTTGTTACTATGCAAATGCCATGCGTCGAGTGGAGAAACGTCCACCGCGGAGGGCTTTTGAGAGGGGGAGGGGGAGGAGGGAGAAGGACGGAGGAAGAAAAGGCGGATGAGGAAGAGTAGGAAGAGGAAGGCGAGCAGAAAGGCCAGGGGCCTTTTGGACGCCTCTCGGAGTCTATTGTGATGTTTTTCGAGAGCTTCTTGGAGTCCTCTTAGAGGTTTCTTAGCAGTCCCGGGGGCCTCTTGGGGCGTCTTGTGTACATTTGGGGGGCCTCTGGCGAGCCTCTTGGAGGCATCTTGGGGGCTCTGGGTGCCTCTTGGGGCCTCCTGGGCACATCTCGGGGCCGTTTCGGGGCATCTGTGAGAGACTCGTAACTATGCCATCCTGGGGCCACTCTGGAGGCGATCGATCAAAGAAGGGGGGCAGTAAATTGCAGTCTCCCCCCAGGAGACCAAAATAGGACCAAAACCTAAGTCAAACTGCGCAAGGCCTCCAAGACGCCCCAGGCCGTCCCCAAGACGATGCAAGATCCTTCCCAGAAGACCAACGGCTCCACGATGGCCCCCCAGAAAGCCCTGGGAGGCTGAAATCGTGTTACTCCCTCCGGAAAGCGTACCTCTTCAGTATCTACAAGTGGCGGGCTGGCCCAGCGTGCGCCACGACCCCAGACGCCGCCAAGACCGCCCCAAACAGCCCAACGAGCCCCCAAGAATTTACGAAGGCTGCCCAAGAGGGCCCTCAGAAGGCCCAAGACGGCCCAGGAAGGCACCCGCAGGCCCCCATGGGGAGCCCAAAGGAGGCCCCCAGACACCCCCAAGGGGGGCCCACGGCGCCCACAGCTCCCGAAGACGGCGCAGAACAGCCCCAGGGTGGCCTCAGGGAGGAGGAGGGGGAGGAGGAGGAGGAAGAGGAGGAGGAGGAGGAGGAGGAGGAGGAGGAGGAGGTGGAGGAGGAGGAGGAGGAGGAGTTGGAGGCGGAGGTCCGTTGCCATTGTGGTTCAAGATGGGAACGGGTCCTACTGCGAGCGGGCAGCCCTCCTTCGAGCTACCCAGTGTGTCGTGCACCGGCGGGCCTTTCTTCCCGTCTGCAAGAGTCACGCCCGATACTGCAGACATCTTGCCTTTGCATTGCTTCTTGACGGGTGCCACTACTCGGGCAGTCGGCGCAAGATGGCACATGGCACAGACACCCACGGTTTCATTCCGATCGACCCCTCGGTGCTGGAGGCCTTGGAGGACATGCCGACCTTCGCGTCCCAGCAGCTTGCTGGCCCTCGTCCTCCCGCTCCTGCTTCGGATCTTCAGCGTCGGAGTCGCAGTCGCACCGCTCCCCGTGCAGAGCCTGAGCAGCGCGCACCTGGATAAGCAGATCCCATGGGAGAATTGCGAGAGTACGTGGACGAGTCCAAGCGCACGATGTTCATGGCTATCCAACAGGTCCAAAAATCCGTTGCAGTTCTCGCTTCGGCGGCCCAGGCATCCTGCACCTCCTTGTCGCGCCAGTCCGAGCACCGCGTGCTTCAAGTGGAGACGTCTCAGCGGCAGGCCAGCTCTCGAATGGATCAGATGGAGAACAATGTCAAGCAGTTGCAGACCCTCCTCAGTGTTATGCAATCCGAACAGACTCAGCCACCGGTGGAGACACAGTCAAACAGCTACGACCGCAAGCCCGACCCCACCATCTTCATGGCCAGGACGGGATCGAACACAGCTCGGCAGAACATCCTTCCCTCGTTGCAGTCGTGGCTGCAGCGCGCGGCGCTCGCGGACACAGATGTTGAGATTGCTGGTGAACCCGCGGGCCGTCGGTTTCAGGTTAGGTTAAGGCCAAAGGAAACGCGAACTACGCAGCTCGGAAGGTGGGAATGGCCTTGTCAGCCCTTAGCACAGGCCCACAGACGTGGGAGATATTCCAGACAGTCGACGCAGAGGGTGCGCCCACAGAGATCCACATCTCGGGCGACAAGTCACAGTGCCAGATTCAGCGAGAACTTCTCATCAAGCAGATCAGGAGGGAGGTGGAAACGATGCATCCTGGACGGCGGGTCTTCGCCAACAGGGACAAAGGAGAGCTTTCGATTGCCTGGAAGCCCATCATGCGAGTGAAGCCGAAGCAGAATGATGTGCCTGTCGTCACCTGGGCGATGGAGAATGTCGTGACCCCCCAGCTCAATCGCCAGCGCATCGAAGCAGCCATCGCACCGTTTTTGCTAGGCTCAGAGCCCGTTCAGTGGAGAGGGTAACACTTTTCTCGGTTGTTGGCAAGGTAGTTCCTCTCGCCCTCGCATTCTCTCTCTCTCTCTCTCTCTCTCTCTCTCTCTCTCTCTCTCTCTCTCTCTCTCTCCCTCTCTCTCTCTCTCTCTGCCTCTGGGGGCATGGAATGCCAGATCGCGATTCCATCGCAACCTCCGCCTCCGCTCCAAGAAGCTGTCCTACCTTAGCCGTCTTCCCGTGCCAGGCGCGATCGCGCGCGCCCAAGAAGCTCGTGGGCCCCCTGCTGCGCCCCGGGACTACCTCTACAACCTACAGAAACCGATTCAAGCATTCTCGCCCTTCCTCCCCGCGCACCCCTACCCCGCCAGCGGCGTCATCGCCTTCCCCCCCCGACTTCTCAGGCAGCCATCTCCAGGACAAGCCAGAGTTTTTTTCCCGAAGTTCTGATTCTGGGCAGGGTTCTGAAAGTCACGGTGAAGTTTTCAGAAGAGAGCATCCTCTACCATTATATTGTTCGCGGTCACGGGCTGACAGCAGGAGACCGCGACGCGGCGATGCGAGCTACCCACGCTGATCGCGAAAAGGTCCAGGTAACACCGTATCAGCGTCTTCTGGTGGCCCAGGGAGATTTTTTTAAAAAACATTTCTTCGATGCCGCCCGTTTTGGGCGAATTCCTTGGAAGCTTCTGGCGGCGATCCTCGGGCTGACATCCAGGGGCTGAACTCTCAGGCGCATGAATGGCGTGGTCTTCGGCGAGCTGAATGGGATCGGCGCTTCCAGAATCTATTAGAGTTTGCAGTGGTGGAACCGACTCACCATTGTGCAGCTCGAGGTACCCTGCCGGCCATCGACAGGATATCCACGTCTCTTCCAGGCTGGGTGCTGACGCAGCTCGACGCCGCAGCCGACGCCGAGGGGTTCCCAGATGTGCTGAACACAATTGGAATTTCCGACCACTCGCCCCGGGTGGCCCAGACCCGCCCGAGGAACCCGACCCCCGACGCCCAGAAAACGACCCATCCAGAGATTTACAAGCTTCCTGCATTCAAAACGCACCTTGACAAGGTTTTCAAAGTTGCCGACGCACCTGGTCTTGCCCCGCCTCTCCTGCTGGATTTTCGCAAGCACGCGATGCGGGGCGCCGCCCGAGCTGCCGGGGGCCAGTTGATTTCTCGATCGCCGAATTCGTCCATCTCGAGGCTCATCGCGGTTAAGTCGATCAGTCACGCCGTCATCCGCCGCGACTTCGTTCCCGGGGATCGCTTGTTCAGGGCCCACTGCATCGCCCGGGAGTTTCTCGACCTCGACCCGATCCATCGTGCGGTCTCGCTGCGACAAGCGGCTGCATATTTGGAATTATCTAATCTGTTGCACGCCGAGACGAATCCGCGCGCTCAAGCTGATGCCAGATCGCGAGTTCGCGCTGCCACCCAGGAGATTGAGGAAATGAAAGTTAGAAGGAATCATCGAGGACTTAGCGGAGGGGGCGGTTGCGGGGGCAGTTCATTCGTGAACTTTGTCTTTGGGGACATCAGCAACGCGGCGCGGTTCAGATTGACCCTGGGGCCGCCAGCGAGGGACTTGTTCATCATTGGGGGCAGGTGTTTTCGAGGAAACCGACTGGCGAGGTGGCAGCAGAGGTTCGTTTGAGGCGCTTCGGTTTCGACGCGGATTTGAGCGACCTCCGCCCAGCAGAGCCGGGCATTTCCCGTCTGCCTGTTTCGCTTCCTCCCGGCTCCCCAGGCCCCGGCGGACCCCCGCGCGCTGCTCGGCGTTTCAACCCCCTCGGCACCTAGGTTCTGGCGCAGGCCTTCGAGCGGGCCCCAGACCGCAACCCCATGCTTCGCGGCTTCAACGAGCTCACAGGCGCGCTCATTCCTACAGATGTCGACGCGGGTCCCGCCGCTGACGCGTCGATTCGCGAGCCCGCCGCAGCGCGCCCATTAGGCGTCCCAAAAGGGTGACTGCAACGTCCTCGCCAGTGCTCGCAATAAATTATTCTTTCGGCGGGCCCCAAAAATTGCTGACCTCATGCAGAGGGGGCTTGCGTGCGGGAGGAACCATGGCGAACGCATTCTCGAACTAGACGCGCTGGCGGCAGTGGCAGGGCTGGACGAAAGGCCTGACACCCACCTCCTGCTATTTATCTCTTCTGGTTCCGGGCAAGATTGTCCTTCCATCGCCCATTATTGGATCTTCGGTGTGCTGGCCACCCACAATCCCCCTCGTCCGTCGATGGGCTTCCTCCACCTCATCTACCAAGACTTGGCGCGCGGCGCGCAGGTAGGCAGCGCGTGCGCTTTGATGTTTAACACCACTTCAGGGATTGTGGAAGGCTGCCCCGCCTCTGGCGTCATATACGCGCACGCCGCTCGTCCGTTCATGCTGCAGTTCAATGCACAGGGCAACTTGCCCCGCAGAGGAGTGGCGCGCTGTTGCGCAGGCGACGTGGGCGCAGTGGTCTTTTGCATATATGCGCTGAAGAACATTTCGATTGTTTTCCGTGAAGCCGATCGCGCTGCTGGATGATAACTGACAGACCACACGTGCTTGGTGGCCCCTCTGAGCGCCCAATGGTCTCCCGAGCTGGCTCAGCGCATCCTT